TCGATATCGACGATATCGACGATACTGGACTTGAAAATATCGGTATTGGATCGAAAATAAAATAAGAGGTCCCTAATTTACATACTTTCAAGGATGAAGGACTTATGAAAAGAATCATGTCTGAGGGGAACTTACTGTCTTTAGAAAAGTTTAGATGGTATTTTTTCTTTTCATCTTGCCACTGTATAATGCATATTAAAGCAGCACTATGTAACTTTTTCTGTGGACTATTGTAGCCTGATCGGGTCGTCACCGCTGCGGAGTAAAACATACCTGCGTGAATCGCCATAGACATAAACTTAGAGAAGTAGCTCCGGTCGGAATGTTCTTCCGCGGGATGTGTGCAGTTCTGTTTATTAACCGCTAGAGCGCCAAAAGTTACATAGTGCTGCTTTAAAATTCATAAGTGCAGCACAGCGGAAACCAAGGAAACGCTTTAAGTGCCACCTGCTGGCAAAGAGTGAATCTGCGTCTCATTCAGCTCATCTGCTGTTTCATGCAGATATTTTTATGTATAGTTTCACAAAACTGAAGTCAAACCATTCTGTTTTTGCTTCAAATTTCGAAATTATACAGTGTAATTTAGATTAAAAACTGCTCATGTTGCATGTATGCAGCATCTTTGTTTGGATCATGATTAAAATGCAGTTGTTGCCTCTAATTTTAAATGGAAAGAACAGAAACAAAGCCTTATTTTGTTTATATGAAGAGATTTACTTTATTTGTGTTACTTATTTATTTGATTTGGGGCTTGTTTTAAAATTTCAATGTAGTTTTGTTATTTACATTTACATTATATTTAAATTTTGTCATTTAGCAGACGCTTTTGTCCACAGCAACTAACTAATGAGGACAATAGAAGCAATCAAAACCAACAAAAGAGCAATAATTTACAAGTGCTATATTAGTATATTATTATAGTGTTATATTTCAATTTCACAAAGAAATGTGCAGCATTTTGTCCAAGCAATAATAAAAGGACACATTTAATTTATAATTTGTCTTAAATCTCATTTTGTTAAAAATAATAACCGTGAATCGAATCGAACCGTGAAATCAAAATCGTGAATCGAATCGTGAGTTGAGTGAATCGTTACATCCCTACCTGACGGTCAGAAAATTTTCAGCTAATTTAAATTTTTGGGTGAATGATTACTTTAACTTCTCTTGAAAAATCGATAGAATCACTAAAAGCAAAGAACATTTGGAAAGTTTAGAAATCAGTCCATTTTGAGTTAGGTTGTCTGTTTTGCACTCAAGTTTTGGATATTATTATTACAAATTTGTGTTGCTATACAGTTAATAGAAGGCACTAGTTTGAATGTATAACAAGCAGCATTTTTGTGTACCAATCAGTGATGACTGTATTAACATATCCAGATGTTTTGCTTCACAATTGTTAATTAATAATAAGACTTGATAAATTGCCAAACCTTTTGTAAAATAATCTTATTACTCACCCAATTCAATGTGATGTTATACCTCATTTGCAGCACAGCAAAACTAGATTTTGTTCTCATTGTAAGTGCTTAAAATCAAGCATAGCGTTAGTTCTGGCAGGTCACGTTAGTCAAGCTCGCATCAGCTGACTCTCAGCTGATCCCCATCTACCTATGGGAATACGACACCTATCTAAGCATTCATATATAAGGTCCCTCAGTATTATCAGCAGTTTTCGCATTGCTCAATAGCTAATTACACTCCTCCATCCCCAACTCCTCCTCTGTCAGTCAGGATTCAGCCTTCTGATTCTCCTTTGAATCAGACTAATTCTAAAATGTGTACATAAAATGATTGAACTTAACAATATCTGCAATACATTTGTTAGTTCTGTTCTGTTTACCCTGGGGGGTTATTGCTGCTCTCCCTGCTCTCATCCATGACAGGCTGCATGGAGGCGCAGGGAGTTCTTGCCCAGAACAGAACCATACCGCCAATCCAAACTGTATGCTAATTGTCAATCATCTTTGACGATAGTGGTCCTGACAGAAATAACTTGATTAATGTATGCATGTAGTTTTGTTGCTTTGCGTTGCACCACTTGCACTCAGAGTGGAAATAATTGATGCTCGCTTTTTTTAGCAGCACAGAACAAGTTAAGCCCCCAGAGTTTAATACTTATTGTTAGGGGTTTATTTAAAATGATAAAATATGAGCAATAATAACAATAATAAAATAATAAAAATGTAAATATCCCTGTGTGTATGCTGTGATAATATTTGATCTTTCTTTTAATTGTAAATTTCATTATCATTTTGTTTTTACTGTCTTGTCTTTTCCCTACAGGCTAAAAGCAAATCTTTATGCAGAGCCAACCAGGTAAATTGTTTATTTGTGTTTGTTTGTGTGTGTGTGTGTGCGAGAGAGAGAGAGATGTGAAGGTTCACCAGCAGTATGAACACCATTTGCCCTCTTTTTCCTTTGCCCCACTGCAAACATACTCATACACACACACACACACGTTTGTTTCTGTGAATTGTGGGGACTTTCCATAGACTTCTATTGTTTTAAACTGACCAAACAATATTTTCTATCCCCTAACCTAACCCTAAACCTACCCCTTACAGAAAACCTGTTTGCATTGTTACACTTTCAAATAAACATCATTTACTATTTTTAATAATTTTTTTCCCCTCGAAATGTCAAAAATTTCAGGTTTTACTATCCTTGTGGGGACATTTGGTCCCCACAGTGTAGCATAAACAAGCACACACACATAACTCCATGGAGATGGATGCACGGTGAGTTAATTGTGTGTGAAAGGCATATGTGGTTCAGTCTGTTCTGCTCTGATACTAGTTTACGCTGACCCTAATGTTAAAGAGAACAGCTACTGCTTTTTCCAGATATCTTTTTCACAGTCCTGTCCAAGACACTCTACACAAAAAACACAAATCTGACTGCTTAGAAAATTAATTGCACACTCCTCAGGGAGCCACACGATTTGAGGCATCATTCATGTCTGTTGCACAAACCGTGTGGGATGACATTTTAGATTTAGATTTTTCAAACAACTAATGATACTTTTACACCAGTTTTTGACCATTTCATTTAAAGATTGAGCCACATTCAAGTGTGTATGCTGACAATAATATATGCTAATTATAACCAATAGTGGCATTAGAACTGTGATGAGAGCAGGCGGTAATTAATTAAAAATGTATTTAAGTAGGATGTAGTGTGTGAACTTGGCATTGGTCCTCATGTTCACACTTCTCTTTGCTGTGAAATCAGTTTTTACAAGTAATTCTCCCCTTTTATTGCCAAATGGACAGCCAGTCTGTTCATTTAATGTGGATTTTTTTCGGTACAACTTACATTTCTTGGAAAAGTTCGTTTGAAAAAGAATAAAAGATAGAGAAAAAAGAAAGAAAGAAAAAAATGATTGGCATAGGACAAAATATAGAATCAAAGTAAGATTGGCATGGGATAAAATAAAGAAGTTGTTTAAATTTCCATTGAGTTCATGCCAGTAGAATATGTTTATGTAGACAAAGATACCTTAGTAATGCCCGGGATACATTGTATGATTTTGGGTTGTCCCAGACAAAAGACAACCAACATGAAACAATCATGGCGATTTCTTTCATTGTGGCTCCTAAAAGTTTGATTCTTTTACATTAACTTGCATCAGAGCTTACGATTCAATATGTGTCATCATCGTACATTCTACAGGTCGCACATGTGGTTTGTAATGATCTTATAAGACTGTCTGTATAGGGCATAAAACGCTGCATTTGTAATTTGCAAAAAATCTCTGACTTCTAAAAGACTTAATCAGTTGCTTTGGTGTGTGTGTGTGTGTGTGTGTGTATCCAGCTGGCGTGCGTCTTGCACTGTTGGAAGGGAGTCAGAACCTAGAACCCTCCTTTGTTGGGAAATGGAACAGAACATTCATTCTATTGCTTAATTAGGCCACTGGCCCCTGAGGAGCCTCACCGAGACCAGGGCTTAAAAGTCACAAGAATTAAGACTTGATAAAGTCATCTCAAGACTCTCCAAATTAAATCTCTGAATTAAAATTGTGAAATACAGTTTAATACTTTTTATGTTGACATAAGATGTTTGTGAAAACACGTTTTGGCTGAGTCATGATCATATTGTACATTATTTATCTATTTATTTTTTATATTTATTATATTTTGTATTTTTAAGGCAAGGCCCACAGACAACAAGAAAAGGTAAAAAGCGGCAAAGGGGGAAACCAAAGCGAAAGAAACACATGGGGAAAAAGCCGTAAGTTCATCATTTCTTATTACAAAAAATGCTGCCATGTTACATAAAAATAATATTTTTCATTTTAATTTTTCATTAAAATTGAAATTTTTTAATTTTATTTATAATTTCAAGTAAAATGTTCTTAAAACAAGATAAATGTACTTGAGAAGCAACATTTTATAAAATCTTAGGACATGTGAGGTGATGCTTAAAACAAGAAAAAAAAGAGATGATATTGATATTGTACGCAATTTTACTTGTCAGATTAATCTTATTTTCAGACTGTTTACATATTTTTACTGGAAAACAAGAAAAAATACTGATTAATGAAATGTTTTTTCCCCCCTGAATTTTAAGATCTACTTCAGTATGGAATACCATATTCATTTACCATGGTATTTATATTTCCACTTTAAATTACTTCAAAGAATACCATGGTACATTTTGGTACCTTTTTGTCATCGTAGAAATTACAAATGATAGACATTTAATAGAAGCAGTTTAGCAATATGCTTAATAATTCATCTTTGTTTTGCCTTTATTTATTTAGTACCATCAATATTATTAAATATTAAAATCTATTTCGAAGCAACAATGTACATGACTCCCATAGATGAGTTTCTGGGCAATGAGAGCTGAAGATTTTCTTTGAAATCCCTCTTTTTCATACGTGCCGTATTGCACGTTTACGCATGTAACATTGACTTCTACTCAGACAACAATTAATTAATTCTGGTCAGGGAAAGAATTCAACAGTTCCTCTCCTTCCTTTTCTACTTTTGCTTTTTTGTCATTGGTTTTTGATGAGGGCAAGTGGAGGGCACTTCTTTTGGACCGCCTTTCCCTCCCTGCTATCCATCATCTACTCCTCCATGGATGGAGTCAGTGGCAAGTGTGAAATCAGGCTAATTTGGCAGCCAGAACGCCCCTCCCTTTTCCTCGGCCTCCCCTCCGCCGGCTCTATCAGCCTCTCAAACCACTTCCACACAAAGATTGATTTTCTTCCTTAATTAACTCTCACCCATACACTGCTCTCCAGTTTTGGTTTAGTTAAAAAAGGGAAGAGGGAAAAAAACAGCCCCATCAGCCCACCATCCCATCAGAGATGTCACAAATGAGACATCAAAGAACTGACGGCCACAGACACTATCCAGAGTATATCTGTGGTGCCGTCCAAAAAGAAGATCAGGGCTGTGCATGATCAGAATGCATTATGGGTCTTTTTGTGCTTGCTACTGAATTTAATTTCAAGCCTAATGTGGAGATGCAGGCTTGGGTCTGGTTTTGTAAAGTTAATGATTGCAAGAACCGACGTGCTCTTTGTCCATTGTAGCAGTTTTACATAATTCTCTTGGAGCCGGATTTGTCAGAACCAGTATTATAATCAGAATTGTGTTACTCAATTACTTGGAGTCTTTTCTTACTATTTTAAAATTCCTCCTGACTTTAGGACCTCTTTACAGTTTTCACAACTTGAAACTGAAATCAAAGAATAGTTTGCCAAAAATGACATTGTGTCATAATTTACTTATTCTCATACTGCACTCTCAGAAAAAAGGTGCAAAAGCTGTCACTGGGGTGGTACCTTTTCAAAACGTTCACCTTTGTACCGTATTTACTCCTAAAAGATGCATATTAGTACCTTTTAGTACATATTCATGCCTTTTGAAAGCTTTTGTAACTTTTTAATGTAAAATAAATAACAACAAAATGTTTATATTTGGTCCAACTGTTCCTTTAAGGCATATATATGAAGGTCGCATGACTCTTTATTTCACACCAACAGCTGATTTTTTTCTCTTCTTGTGCCAACAGGACTCTCGTGCCAACTACACCCCCTCCTCCTCCCCCTCCCACTCTACCGCCTAGCTCCGCCCCTCCACCACCTGCCAGAGAGGCGTGTCCACCATGCCCCACCCGCAGGATGACATCACAGCCTCCCTCTTGTGAATGCAGGTGCAGTTTGAGGGAGGTGAGCTGTACAAAGAGAGGGAAGACACTTAACCACCACAGCTGCCGGTAAACACACACGCATATATACAACTTATTCAAATGTAGCTTATTGTGCTAAAAATAGACCCTTACACACATTGGCATGCCCTCCATTTGGGAGTTTATTGCACAAGGAAGTGTTTCTCCATCAATGACCTGCAGAAAAAAAAAAGCATTTGATAGCATTTGACACACACACACACATGCAGTTATATATATATATATATATATATATATATATGACTGTATATCTGTATGTGTATATACAGTGGGTACGGAAAGTATTCAGACCCCCTATATATATATATATATATACACACACACACACACACACAGTCAAATTCTGTTTAGAATGAAAATGTTGAGCCATTTCTTAGGGATTTTCAATTATTATAAAATCATCTTTTTATTCAACAAGAATGCATTAAATTGATCAAAAGTGACAGTAAAGACATTTATAATGTTACAAAAGATTTCTGTTTCAAATATATATATATCTATATATATATATATATCACTATTTTTACTGTATTTTTGATCAAATAAATGCAACCTCTATGAATATAAGAGACTTCTTTCAAAAACATTTAAAACGTTACCAGTCCTGAACTTTTGAACGGTAGTTTAACAATTTTAATACATTACCATTGTGGTTACAATTGTTTATGAAAGGCTTGAAGTAAAGTGTTGCTCAGTATTTTTAACATGAGTAACTTTCTTTTTACTGTATTTTTGATCAAATAAATGCAACCTCTATGAATATAAGAGACTTCTTTCAAAAACATTTAAAACGTTACCAGTCCTGAACTTTTGAACGGTAGTTTAACAATTTTAATACATTACCATTGTGGTTACAATTGTTTATGAAAGGCTTCAAGTAAAGTGTTGCTCAGTATTTTTAACATGAGTAATCTCTTTCCTCCTCTCATTCTCTTTCAGATGTGAAACCCAAAGCGAATAGTGAAATCAAACCACCCGTATAATCCACCGATCAAACTTTGCACAGCTTTGAGGAGGTCAAAGGTTTGCTTATTCTTTTGTCACAGACTCTGAAGTTTGGGTCTCACGCAAAAAAAGAGTTTGCGTTCAGGAACAAACAACAGACCCACCCCCTGTGGCCCATCTGGCTATGTCCCACACACTATTACGACAGTATTAGATCCATATTCATTCATTCTGTACTGGGTGTGTACGGAATATCACCAGATCCTACTGTTGAAGCTTTTCGCCATTATGATCCAAACTTCAGATCACCTTTAACCATTTGACATTTGTATTATGGACATTCAATGAGTCAAGCGTATCGCTGGAATATTTAATGCGCTAAAAGTGAACCATAGTGTTCTCATTGAGCTTTATCCAAAACCAGTTTTGGGATTTTGTTCAGCTTCAATGGATCCTCATAGGCACAGACACACAGCTAGAATGATGCTAAGGATGACGAGTGCGCTGAGAACTTTCAAAGGGAAACCTGAATAAGGAAGGAGTCCTTTTTTTCTACCAAACTACTTAAAGTGGAGAGTTTTTGATGGGATGGATGTTGACAGACCTTCAGTGTTGAGAGAACTCAAGTGTTTCGCTACACAAACAGAGTATCTCATCCTGAGAACATCCCGACGTCTCCTCTGACCCTCCTCATGTGATAAATGGATGGATGGGTCGATTAGACGGATCGACGGGTGTCTGTGTGGTCTGAATTGTGCATAATAAGGATCTGTGCGTCTATCCTAATTTATTCCTGGCCTCTATAAGTCCATAATGTGGCTTCACAGACTGTATCAATGAGTCTTTTTGTGTTTGTTTGATTTGCTTTTTGTTCGGTTCCTTCCTTTGGGAATTGAAAGCTTTTTCCCACTGGCTAGCCAGTGAGAGGAATGCCAATCATATAGAAACCTGGCTATATTCCATTGGTGCTCACCAAACACAAGTCTTCTCTCTCCCACACCCCCGATCACACTCGTTTTTCATCTTTTTCTTTATCCCTTTTCACTTCATCTGTCTTTTTTCATTCTTTTTCCCTCACACACACACAGTCATGCGTACACATACAAATGCAAGCAGGTAAATATAAGCTTTTCTGTGTTGATACTGAAAGAAGAATTTATTTTATCTATCTTATTCATTTTGTAAAGAATACTAATGTTATTGTAGTCCGTTTTGTTTTAAAGAATGTTTCTTTTGTGTATCTCTGTTAATCCAACCTATAGAGTCAGGCTGGGTGGCCGACCGTGTGTTGAATTGGAGTAAAAAGCTCTGAAAGTCTTTAGGAAAAGGGAAATGCCCATTCTGTTTGTGCTTTGTGTCTTAATCATCTCACAGCGATGGAAGTATGATGTATTTATTTTTTTATATTGAAATGCATTTTGTATTATGCTTTGCAATGTTTCTTTTGGGACATTTAATTATCGGCTGCGACTGATGATTCGAGAATATTCAGTATTTTTGGCTGATTTCCTCAGAATCATGCAGCTCGGATAGTGTAGCTGTCAGTCGATGTTGAGGATTGTTAGTTTCCATCGATGCCAGAGGCCGCAAACGTGAAAGAATAGCTTTTTTTTTTTTAATAGTGGTCATTTAACCAAACACTTCTTTCCACCATATATGTAGCATTATTGAATGAAATATGAATTTCAAGAGCAAGTCTGACCTCACTTTAAGTGATTTCTCAGATTATTTGTGGTCATTTTCTGCAATAATGTGAATTATTAGGATCCCTCAGCACCCTTTCACTCTTCAGACTACGCAGATATAAGATATCCACGAGTTATCAGCATTCCCAAACTACTGATCTGTGTTAAAGTCAACATGAAATTTCATTAGCAACCCATTTTACTTCAGTATATGATGTAGTTTTAATGAAACTGGTCTTCAGTGAGAAAAAAATATGTAGGGTGGCACTTAATTTTATGCATTGGCAGTTGATTGAATGGTGCACTGGGAAAAAAAATGTTGCAGGATTTACTACAGTTTTCACTCAGAAATCCCTAGTAAATTTTACACATTTTAAACACAATTTAATGTGAAATTTTGAAGTAGAAAAACTGAAATAGTATTTTCTTGTAAAACATATGCCAATAAAACTTCGAAAAATATTTTTTTACAATGTGAAAAGTGGGTGTTCCAAAACAAAATGGAGCTAAATCTGAATGTTGATTTGCTTAAATAGCTGTTTGACTATTGGTTAGCATTATCCAATAGCCCATGTGGTCTAAGTCAGAGGTCCCCAACCACCGGGTCACGACCCACTACCGGGCCGTGGAATAATTGCTACCGGGTCGCAAGAACGTTCTGGGAAAATGTGTATAGATATGACACTCTGTTATTTATTTATGTTAATGATTGTTCAAATTATTCTGTATTTTCTTTGTATGCGATTGATATGGAGTAGCAATTTGACAATTTAATGTTAAATAAGTAAATGAAAGATTGCTCTGATCTGACACATATTAGGAGTTAAACGGATCGCAGTTGATCCGTAATACGTACGGATGAGACCCTACCGTTCGGCACGCACGTGATTCGCAGATTAATTTGCCAGTTTACACGTACAAGCAATTTTAAACCACAAGAAGAAGAAACGAAAGAGAGCTCAATTCGTTACTCACGCGCTGTTCTCGCACACAATCAAAGCGCGCCCAAGCAAAGAGACGTGTTTCAGACAGCGCGGAAATACCGAGTTGGGTATACATACACATAAAATTAGCCTATGTCAAAAAACCTTCACGGCATTGTCATACTCTGTGCTTTAAGTATTTTGTTCTTGCTTATCCGAAAAAATTGTCCGATCTGTGAAAAAAAAAAAACAATATAATGCGTCGAACCACTATATAATGCTAGGCTATTATAATACTATACCGGTCCGCGAGAATATTTTCCAAACTTAACCGGTCCGTGGTGTAAAAAAGGTTGGAGACCCCTGGTCTAAGTGACATCAGCGGGAAAGGAAAGTTGTTTCAGAGACGGAGGAAGTTATTTTGAATGTATGATGCGAAGTAAATTAAAGTAAATAGGGTTGATTTTGAGTTCATGTTGACTTTAAGGTCTTCTCTGTGTGAACTGGTCAATATGTTGTCCTGTTTCCTCGTCTATGATGACTGGCTTTCCTTCAAATCTGTTGCCGCTGTGAAATGTTCTGTGTGAAATATCCTGTGCTATAAACGTAGCGTTTTCTCTCTCTCAACAGTAACATGTATCAACTACCTCTGTGTCTGTACAGTCAACGTAACTATCACAGTAAGATTATAGAACCGTGAAAATATATAAAACACATACACAAAATGCATACCATATGAATGTACCGACAGAACTTAAAGGGGTCATATGATGCGATTTAAATTTTTCCTTTCTCTTTGAAGTTTTACAAGCTCTTGGTGCATAAAGAAGATCTGTAAAGTTGCAAAGACTAAAGTCTCAAATCCAAAGAGATATTCTTTATATAAGTTAAGAGTCAACCACGCCTACCTAAAACGGCTCGTTCTAACACGCCCCCACATGTCTACATCACGATGTGGGAAGATTTGCATAACGCCACCCAAATGTTCACGCAAAGACCGTGGACGAAGCGGAGTCCAGCCCGGGGTCGTCACATGTGGTTGCCGCAAGCCCACCGGACACTCCTTCGTCGAATCCGCCGGCTGCACTGTTCTCAAGCCCGCCCGCCCGCCTGCCTGCCTGCCTCTGCTCACTCAAGCTGGCCTCCGCTTACTTTAGGCCTCCGCTCACTCAAGGCTGACGCGTTTCAGAAAGGCGGGGCATAGAGGAGAAACAATAATGTACCTTAAACCGCATAAACACATTTCATTACACCAAATACACTAAATAATGTTCTTTTTAGCAGCATCATATGACCCCTTTAAGTGTTTCCGATCTCTTCTATGTAAAGATAATTCCAGAATCCTGTCGCTTTGTTCCGAGATTTTGTGCGTAGAACCGTATATGTCCGATATGTATCCAGGTAGATCAGGACCCAACAGAACCCAATCTGCACCACAGTCTATACACGATATAAGCTTTGAGTGTTTGTTTGAACGTAATTAATAATGGTTATTGCTGCTATACCATCTGTGCCCAATTCTCCTGTGTGTGAACATGTGTATAATATTTGTTACAGAGAGACATAACCTGCTCTGCTTTATGTCTACAATGTGTATAAATTCAAACGTAGGTCTGATCACACATACAGTATATACAAAACACAACAGCCATAAAGCAATGTGCTATATATTAATATAAATAAAGTGAAATGTCTTATTTTTGAGATAGATTTGTGATGATTTGGTAATTCTGAAATGTCACTTGCAAAATTACCACAGTATTGGGTGAGTCTCATAAAACTTGTTAAAAACATGTCTGGGTCAGATTTAAAATAATTTTTGCATTATTTTCATTATGCATCTCATTACTGTATTGCAAACAAAGATATAGATTTCTATACATAGAATATATATTGGGCTACATATAGAATAAATGCATTATAGAAGTGTTTATTGTATTGTCTTTTGTAATTAAATTTTTGTAGTTTATGAACAGAAAATCGTTGTATTACAGGGGTGAAACTCAAAAGTAATAATATCCATTAAGGTAATGAGTATCTGGTTAGAAAATATAGAACTTGTCATGAAAATAATGTTTACAATGCAAAAAAATCTTAATGGTCCTAAAAATAGACTTCATTTTTGTGGTGAAATGTGACCTGGACATGTTGTTGTGAGATTGGATCTATTGTGGAAATAATAGGTCTATAACCGGACATGTAACATGATTTGAAGAAGACCTTGACCTTGGATGTAAATATGATACATGTGAATAGTAATCATTTAGCACCATACTATATATACATATCGAAGTACTATAGTGTTAGTATCTGATAGCATCACTGTACCATGATAATGTAACAGTAGTTTTCTATAGGGAAAGCACATATTTGCTTTAGTCTTTGTTTTATTCTCAATTCAACCTCCCTGTTTTGTGTCGTCCACCCGCTCCCTTCTCTTTTCCTGCCGTTTAACTTTAACGGTAATGAAAGACAAACATTGTGATAATTATCACCTGGGTCTGGGAGTCTCAGGCAGAGGGCCACCAGCACCGTAATGATGTGAGAAATAATATTATCTCTCTCCCTCCTCTCGCTTGACTGCTGCTGAGTCAGACTGGCTCTCACACACACACACGCACACACACTGCTTAATGCTAATGCCACCTGCCCAGTGCCTGTGGAACAGCACAAACCTTACCTGATATCTCCTGTCTGATGATTCACTGATACTTGTTTTATTCTGTCTTTGTAGGCTTTTAACAGGAGTGATACAGCTAAGACATGCTGCTAAAAATACATGCAGCGCTACCCATGAATCAGTCCTTCTCACAAAGAAATGTCTGGCTCAAATAAAATAAATAAAATAAAATAAAAAAAATCATAAAATTAATGCAAATTTTAGATGAAGAAAATGAAGTCTGCTTTTATAACCCTTAACATTTTTCTGCATGTTTTTTATTACAGTTAATCCTAAAATATAGGCTTAATTTTCTAATTTTTATATATAGTCTTTTAATTTTGCAGTGATAATGAATAATGAATTTATTATTATTACGGGTTTTTTTTATTTCTGGAATAAATAAAATAGTAATATTAATAATAAATAAATTTGTTATATTTTGCTGTAGAAAACGAGGCCTATTTTCGACCAATAAAA